GAGGCAGGACGTCCATTATTCTCAAGCACCTAGGAGAGGACGAATTTCTGTCTTAAAGACACAGTGTCCATACACTGGCCTCAATCACAAATTTGTTCTAAGTTTGATTTTCAAGAAAGTTGTAAGTTCTGTATTTTATTTATTATTCTGTTAAGGGAAAATCTACATGATCTGTTTCTGTTTATTATTCTGTCTGTATGTAATATCTATTGTTAATATGCTGTAAACTACATATTCTCGGAGAGAAAGATATCCAACAGAAAGAACCATGGGAATGTGATCCAGATGCAGAAAGAGTAGATATTTTATTGAGAATTGGATTTACAGAGGACATGCCTGAAATTCCACGTGACCTCTCAAAAGAAGCAAAAGATTTTCTCAAGAAGTGCTTGGTTAGGGATCCAAAGTCTCCGTGGACTGCTGATTTGCTCTTAGGCCATCCCTTTGTTTCTGTTGCAGTTGCAGATAGCGTCTTCACTGGAAGTATTGAAGATGAAAGAAACAGAGTCTTTCTTCCAAAAACAGCAAAAGCTGTTCTGAACCTTACTTTCTCAAGTCATATTCAGCATCAAATGCACACGTTGTACCTAATAGTTTCATGGCCGCAAAGCACTCGGTTGATATTGTTTCTGAGGACTTTGGTGAATTTCTTACTTACAAAAAGGCAGAAAAAATTGGAGGTAGACGTAGAACAAGGGCTATCTGGAACCAGTTTTCAACTGGATGCCTTGGGACAGTATTGGGCTATCCAGAGGATTCAGTTGTACCAAATTCATGCATTGATAGATTTTTAATTAAGGTTTTAATAGCATGATTGTTGTTGCGATTTTTCTGCTTCAAATAATTTGTTGAGGGTATGTCTCAAACTAAACCCAGATAACGTTTATGTAGGGAGAGGCAGGGCTCATCATATTCTTTACATTCATAGTGAAATTCCTCTGCTGTTTCCGAACCACATGAATCATTGTGTGCTTGTGTGTTTATTATGTTTTACAATTTATCAATTTCTGTTTTCATCCTAACATCACTGAAATTTTATAGCTATAGGCATAGTGGTTTTAATTCGAGAAATGTGCCCCAAAACACTGGTCAAATTTCCTTTTCTCGAGCTTCTTTGTTCCCTTATTTTTTCCTGACTCTAGGTAATGTAGGCTGTCCCCCTAGCTTTGGATACAGGAAGAACGCTTGTATGTCCCTATCTCACACACAACAAAATGATTTTTCTGAAACTAAGCGGGGAATTGAAAATTAATAACAGATTGACTGCGAGCTCAAACACAATGAAAGCTATGATTCGATCAAATAATGAAATGGCTAATCAAACTAAGACAAACAGGAATAAAACAATGCTATGTTAAATGTCCACAAGATATAGCTTCACAACATTTAAAGGGTTCATAATGATTTGGATTGATATTTGATACCCATAGACAAGAACAAAATGTTATATAATAACATGAAGAACTATGTAATGGGTAAGCTTAGAATACTTTTCATCTAAGCGCATAGATACAAGTTTGCTAAGGCCATAGAGAATAATACTACAAGAAGTTTCATTACCCACTCCAATACAATCAAACACCAAAATGCTCCATATAACACAGTTTTTCGAAAAGTTCACATACCTTTAATAGAAAGGGGCAATACCACCAATGATGGAACATAGAACAATGGAAGCCACCTCTGGATATACATGATTGCAAATGCCTTTTTCAAGACCTTAGCCAATTTTCCAGTACAATCATAAGCGAGGCTATCAAATATGCATTACGGCTAAAACCTAATATGCACACACAAAAAAAAAAAAAAAAAAAAACTAATAAAACAAACCCATTCAAACAAAAATTCAATGTTAAACAAATGCATGGGATAGTCTTTGCTCACACTTTGCAGGCTTGTGGAAGCAAAGTCATTGTGGGAATCCATGGATTTGGGCTGAATTATCTGAGCAGAGTGAGTTTTACCCCATTTGCAGTCGGGGTTCGAGGAAGTTTCTCTGGCTATATAGCCTATACATATGAGATTTGAATGGAGATCTCTCTCTCTCTCTCTCTCCCCAATCAATATTCATCAGACAACATTGGCGGGAAGTTCAAAAGTTGCGGTTATATTGGTTGGCCCCCGTGGCTATAGGGGCCTACCAAAAATATTTAAATGATGGATTTTGTTAGGAAATGAGTCCTCTCCCTACTAATTTTTCATACTTCATCATATTTTGCCTCTGTTGAGGTTGGGGTTTTTTTTTTTTTTGGCTAAAATAACCACACAAAAAAAAAAAAAAAGATAAAAAAAAAAAAATAGATATTTTAGTTTAATAAGACAAAACATCACATTCAACTCATAATCATTATATTCTTTTTCTCACAAAAAATAAAAAAAGTCATTAAACCCTTTCCAAATTAGGCTTTTTAGCCCAATACTAAAATAGGCAAAAAGCCAACTCACTTTCCAAACGAATTACTCTAAATTTGTAATAATTCGTAAATCACACGATGATGACCGTCTATGTACAACATTAGTTTTATTGAATATCAATGATTAGATAAACAAATCGTATTTTGTTTCATTAAATAGAAACTAATAGTTTAGTTTAAACTCATAATTATCGTTTATTTTAACATTATATATTTCTTCATGTGCCTAGTGATGTTCAATGAATTTTCTTTTTTTTTTTTTCTTGTTTTTGCACAACCCATCTTTATTGTTGAGTTTATGAGATGAACTATTAGAATTATCATTATAGAGCTAGAGTGAGGCTCACAAAATAAAATATAAAAAAATATAACGGAGAACATCTTTGAATAATATTAGGAGTCATGAAATTTTTTTTATAGCAATGGAGAATATCTTGAATAATAACGGAAAATATTTTTGAATAATATTAGAGATTATGAATAAAATTTCATGGCAACGAAGAATATCTTGAATAATATTAGAGATTTCTTTTAATAATATTATGGATTATGAAAAAATAATATTAGGAATTATGAAAAAAAATTAATTATTGTGTTTGGTTTCAATTTTCTGAATTTAGTTTTTTGAAAATTGAATTTTTTGTTTTTCGTGTTTTTAGTGAATATTTTTTAAATTTTAAGCAATTTTTTAATTGTTTAGATGCATTATTTAGATGTATGTAAATAGTAAAATAATTGTGAAAAAATATTTTAAAAAATTAATAAATACACAAAATATGAAATATATACTGAATTTTCATTTTTTTCTGTATTTTTTGGTATTTAATGTATTTTTTAAATATTTTTTCACAAATATTATACTTTTTAAGTATATGTATGTTAGGTATGTCTAAAATTTTAAAAAACTGCTTAAATATTAAAAAAATCATTGAAAACATTAAAATACAAAAAATAAAAATGTAGAATTTTCTGAAAACCAGAGCCAAACAAAGTGAATAATATTAGGGATCATGAAAATATCTTTGAATAATATTAGGGATTATGAAAAAAATTCCATGGTAACGCATAATATCTTGAATAATATTAGGGATCATGAAAAACATTTCATGGCAACGGAGAACATCTTTGAATAATATTAGGAGTCATGAAATTTTTTTTATAGCAATGGAGAATATCTTGAATAATAACGGAAAATATTTTTGAATAATATTAGAGATTATGAATAAAATTTCATGGCAACGAAGAATATCTTGAATAATATTAGAGATTTCTTTTAATAATATTATGGATTATGAAAAAATAATATTAGGAATTATGAAAAAAAATTAATTATTGTGTTTGGTTTCAATTTTCTGAATTTAGTTTTTTGAAAATTGAATTTTTTGTTTTTCGTGTTTTTAGTGAATATTTTTTAAATTTTAAGCAATTTTTTAATTGTTTAGATGCATTATTTAGATGTATGTAAATAGTAAAATAATTGTGAAAAAATATTTTAAAAAATTAATAAATACGTAAAAATATATAAAAAAAATGTACTGAATTCTTGTATTTTTTTATATTTTCGGTATTTAGTGAATTTTTAAAAGATTTTTTTTACAACTTTTTTACTTTTTAGGTATATTTATGTTAGGTGTGTCTAAAAAGTAAAAAAAAATACTTAAAATATTAAAAAAATTCAGTAAAAACAAAAAAAAACACAAAAAATAAGAAAGTAGAATTTTCTGAAAAATGTTTTCTGAAAAGTAAAAACAAGCAAGGTGATTAGCTTTATAAATGCCACGTGAGCAACAAAGATAGAGGAAAATGATCCTAATAAATAAATATATTTTGCCTAACCTTGAAAGCTAGTTACATGTAGTTAGTGAATGTAAATTGAGCCAAAATGCCTAATCATATGCCTATTGTATTAGAGCATCTCCAATGCACTAGGCATATAATACTTGTTAGTTAAAATGCCTAGTGTGATTCATTTTTTTCAATTCCAATGCACTAGGCATATGATTAGGCATTTTGCCTCAACTCATATTCACTAGCTACATGTAGCTAGCCTTCAACGCTAGGCAAAATGTATTCAATCATTAGGATCATTTCCCTCCATCTTTGTTGTTGATGTGGCATTCTATAAAATTAATAGTATTTGGATAAATAGCTAAAATAAAGAGCATGGTTGGAGTAAAAACATAAAACAGTTGATAGGCAAAATAAAATATATACTTTATAGTAATATTCAGATAGGTAAAATGCCTACTACCGTTGGAGATGCTCTTAGAGTTGAAAAAATTAAGTCACACTAGGCATTTTTACTAACAAACATTATATGCCTAGTGAATTGGAGATGCTCACCAAACTAATTTAGAAAATTAAAAATATATATATATAAAATATAAAAATAAAAAAATCAACTTTTGGCAACCAAATCACACGTTTTAGGAAACATGTTGGCTTCCACACGAAGCAACTCAAAACCTTACATATAGATTACTATAAACGACATCACTTATCAGCAAATTCTAGAGTGAGTGAGTTTCTTTGAGAGTGAAAGAGAGAGTTTTGCAAAGAGAGAGTCTCTTTTCTTGGGGTGTAATGATGTGGAGGAGAGGGGAAATACTGGGAAACGGAGGTTCTGCAATGGTGTATCTGGCTGCAGTTGTTTCACCCACAAGTAATGATCTACTACCTTCTCTCATGGCTGTCAAATCTGCCCCATTCTACAAGTCTCGCTGCCTTGCCAAGGAAGAAAGGTTGCTCAGTGACTTTGCAGATTGTCCTCACATTATCCGCTGTTTCGGGGAACACCTTACGATCGAAGAAGATGGAGAGCAATGGTACAACATCTTGTTAGAGTACGCGGCTGGTGGCAGTTTGGCTGATCGTATTCAGAGTTTTGGCAGAGGATTGCCTGAGAGCGAAGTCAGGCGTTTCACAAAATCTCTACTTATGGGTCTCAGTTACATTCACAAGAAGGGTTACGTTCACTGTGATATCAAGCCTCATAATATACTGCTTGTGGAGGAAAATGATGACTTTTCAATGAGTTTGAACGGAAAGAGGAAAAGGTTTCAAGAAAGTACTGCAAAGATTGCTGATTTTGGGCTTGCAAAGAGAGCTGGAAAGAAACTGAAAGCAAAAGAAAACAAGCCGAGACTGAGGGGCACTGCTCTGTATATGGCCCCGGAGTCGATTCTGCGTGAAGAATATGAACCGCATGCAGATATTTGGGCAGTCGGGTGCACAGTATTACAAATGCTGACTGGAAAAGAGCCTTGGAAGCGCAACAAAGGTACTGAAGTAGCCACTATTCTTTTTAGGATTGGATTTTCTGAAAAAGTGCCCGAAATTCCAAGTGGGTTGTCGAAGGAGGCTGAAGATTTTCTCAATAAGTGCTTGGTTAGGGATCCGAAGTCACGGTGGACTGCTGATATGCTCTTAGGGCATCCTTTTGTTTCGGCTGCAAATGAAAGTATCGAAGAGGAGAAAAACAGAGTTGTTGTTCTTCCCAAAGCAGCGAAACCAATTCCTGATTCATCATTCCAGAGTTCATTCAGTCTTCCTAAACCCTACTTGCTCATGTCACGTTTAGCATCAGATGGGCTCGTATCACATAGTTGCGTGGCCACAAGGCACTCGGATGGTATTGATTCTGAAGACTTTGACGAATTTCATGCTTGTAAAAGGCAAAAAAGAATGGAGGAAGATGCAGAACAAGTGCTGTCTGGAACAAGTTATCGACTGGATGCATTGGGGCAGTATTGGGGTATCAAGAGGATTTCAGAGATAACAAACTCCAACATTGCCATTGAGATTTTCAATTAAGATTTTAATTAATAGCATGTTTGTTGTTGCTTCAAGTACTATGTTGTGGGTATGTCTCAAATTCACCAGACAATGCTTATGTACAGAGAGGTTGTAGTGAGAGGGAGGGCTCATTGTATTTCTCTACATTATTCATAGTGAAATTCCTCTGCCCTTTTCACCTGTGGACGTAAGCTATAGCTGAACCACATAAATCATTGTGTACTTCTGTTGTGTGTTTGTTCTGTTTTATAATTTCGAACTTATGTCCAAGTGAGGCCAACACACAGCTTTTGAGAAGTACTCCCCTGCTGTCCCAGAAAAATCAAAACAAAGCAGGGGCCGTAACCTCCAAATAACTAATAAAAATCTCAACTACCATTTTAATTAACTTAAAAACTAATAAACTAGCATACAAAATAAATCTCCCTTCCACAGTAAAAATGACAAGGCAACACCAAAACATTAGCTGCACCTTTTCACCAATATCCCAAAACAAAGAAACTTGATATCATGCCATGTTCTTTCGTGTTGAGCATTGCTTATATACACAACCTATCCTAACATCAACAATACTACAAAATGTCAAACTATTGAATAATGGCTAACCAAAAGAACAAAGGTTATCCCTCAAAACGAAATAATGCTCTCCATAATCTGCTAATAGCCTCTATACCAGCCTCAGTAATGTCTGTCAGCAGCTACTTTTGAGACAATACCTTTGTCTCTCATTGTGTCTAGTTCAATATTGAAAAAGAATATTCTTGCACTTCAGTGCCCTTGATATGATTTGTTGGTATCTTAAGCAAGCTCAATCTAAATGACGGAGTGAAACACGATATGAATATTTAGTCCTTACTAGTAGGAGAAAAAAATTTAGGCTCCACATAAACTTCTAAAGTTCTGCTTCACTTCCATAAGATCCATTCATAGATGCACATGTTTAGTTTAGATACTCTGACCTCAAGCATATGGCACAAATTACCAAAAACAACATAAATTAAAAAATAAAAAAAATTATCTGAATTGAATGGGTGCAATGCTCCACAAAGTTTCTATTTCAACTTATGTAGATCATAAAGCTAGAAGCTTATGTTTGTCAAAAGGAACCTACTTCTTCTCTCAACATGTTTCTAACAAATTTTGTAGAGAGTCTAATGAAGGAAATAAATAAAAATTACCAATAACCACACAAAATACTAATTGAGAATAGCAAGTATATAAAGACTAATGACATGATAGATTTATTTTTAATTGTAATTTTTTCAAATTAGTGTCTAATTCAACTACGCTTAAACATATGAATACGACACAACAGATCATTTGGGCTCATGTGTTAATGTGAGAAATGTTATCACGTGAAGGAGTGGGCCGCAGATGTTAATTACGAGGAAATAAAATCAAGTTCAAAAGAAATATTAGAAATAGAAGCACAATTAGAGCAATAGTAACAATTAATTTCATGCAGAAAAATAAACCAGGTGCCACTTGAAATAGAAGCACAATTGGAGCAATAGTAACAATCAACTCATTTGCATTCACTAGTTGCATGCACTAAGGCCTTGTTTGGCAAGGGCTATTTTAGCCTATTTTAGGCTAAAATTCACAAAAAGACAAAATAGGTTAAAATAGTTAATAAGACAAAATGTCACATCAAATTCATAATCATTTCGCTTTTTCTCTTATAAACATCACATCCAACTAAAAAAAATCCAACAATCTTCTCAAACACAAAAATTTTAGCCTACTAAAATAGTCAAAAACTAAAATAGCCAACTTCCCAAACAAGGCCTAAGTTGGTTTTTAAAAGCTCATTTGCACAAAGTTGGTTTTTTGCTTCTTCATAAGTCATGTTTTCATTTGATTCCGATTCATCAACAATCTAACGCTATAAAGCAGGTGCCACTTGAAACCCAACTTTAATGGTTTGTTTTCTTCTTCTTCAAAAACAAAAAGTAAACCTTTCATGGCATGTTTAGCAGGACTATCTGGAAGTTATCTGGAAGTAAATTCATGTAGTTGAAGTTTTACAATAACCTTCAGTTGAAAGCTTTTACAAAAGTTCATATACCATTTCTAAGGATATATAAAAATCAATTTCACAATCTACAGACAATTGAGCTAAATTTGAGCCAAAATTAGCTGTAATTTGTGTGTGTGATTTTTTTTTTTTTAATTAAATTCAAAACATCGAGAAAACAGTAAGGAATTGTAATACAAATTTCGAGCTTATGGGCCCTAGCCCATCCTATATATTTTAGGGTCAGGATGGGCTGTCGACTTTGGGCGTTTTGAATTGACACATAAAACCAATATGGGAAAGGATTAAATCATATTACAAACATTATATACACTAGTAATTCTAATCATTTCACTGTCAAATTGATTTGAGAAATGAAATCAGATTACAAAGACAAACTGAGATTAATACATCTTGTGATGAGTATTATCTACCTCCACTACAATACTTAAAACAGAAAAAAAACCAAAAAAAATCACTAAACTTCAAAGAAAGATAATACTGAGGGTTAGCGCCACAATTATACATCTTGGTAGAATTGAAATGATTGAAGATGGTTCTAACCTAACAAGACATCTAAACAAAATGTTCGATCAAAGCAGTAGAATACAATGAGACTAGTGTTGAAATGGTGACGAATAAACAACTAGGGGCAGGGGTTCGGTCAATCTTGCCATAAGCAAAGATTGCTTATTTCTCCTTATTATGGGACTTTGTTGTTTTGAATTTGTTTCTTCTCATTATGGATTCTTTCCTCTTTCTTGGTGCTTGGTATTGATTGTTCGGTTGATAGATTTGTGTTGGGGAACTATCATTGTCAAATTTGATGTAATTCTTTTCATAATGGTAAATAATCTTCTACCAATTGACCCAAAAAAAAATGGTGACAGATGTGAAAATTTTAGCAGCGTCCATCTTAAGAGGCAAGAATGGTATAAACATCTAAGATCACTTTACAAAAGACATATATGATATGGGCTGTAAGTTGAAATTTCACTATTTTTCATTAAGATTTTTGATTAATCCAAACCATTAACTCACATTAAATTTATATAATATTAAAATAGAATAATGTCTAAAAAATAAAAATAAATAAAACAATGTCACAAATTTTCTTTACAAACTGATGTGTTTTTTCATTAATACACATTATTATTCAATTACATGGTGATGAGACCGAACAAAAGTCAAAGCTTTATATCAATTTGCAAGCAATTGGTAATTATAGTATTTAATGATTTTATTATCCTTTTAATTCATATCAATTAGATATAAGGATGGGATTCTAGGAAAGAAATCTTATTACACTCGCAACTATAATCATTCCCTTGTTTGGTATCTCTTATAAGCTAGTTTTACAATTATAATTTTTTAATTTATTATCTCAAAATATTTAAAATAATTAATGAATCTGATTGGTGCAGCTTTTCATAATCTGTAAAAAAATATTGAACCTGTTTGGTTAAATAAGTTGGCACATAACTTTTCTATTATAAAAATATCCAAAATGCCCTCAAAAATTAAAATTAAAATGAAGACAAAAGATAGAGCATTACTTTGTCCATTCTTATTAAAGATTTCAAGTAAGTTAAAAAACCTACTATAGCTTAAGAAAATTTGACTTTTTTATTTTGGCCAAATAAGTTGAAAAAGTCAAATAAACTATAATTTAAAATTGTCACCAAAGATCATTAATTAAATTTTTATAAGTTGACTTATAAAGCCGATAGAATGTTGGAAATAGAATTCCTAGTTGGTTGGTTGTCCTCGTTATCTTAGAATCTCAAGATTAGTAACATTGTTGTGTTAGAACTTTAGATTCATAGGGTTAAAGAATAAGTAGTTAATAGGATATATACAAGGCCAATCCTAAAAAAACTAGGAGACTTGGGTGTAATAGAATAGCAAATAACCACCCAATACTTGTACACCAAGCAACACCGGAACATTATATATAGAAGAGATGGACATGTTTTCAAAGATCACCAAAAACAGCAAAAACAGTAATCAGCAAATTCTAGAGAGAGTGTGTTTCTTTGAGAGCGAGAAAAATCAGAAGAACAATGATTTGGACAAGAGGAAAGACACTGGGAAGTGGGGGTTCTTCAATGGTGTCTCTGGCTACAGTAGTTTCACCCACAACTAATGGTCTACCTTTTGTCATGGCTGTGAGATCTGCTCCCATCTAAGACTCTTACTTGCTTTGCAAGGAAAGAGAATTGCACAGCAAGTTTGAAGGCTGCCCTTATGTTCTCTACTGTTTTGGGGACGACAATACGATGGATGCTGAAGGAGAGCACTGGTGCAATATCTGGTTGGAGTATGCTGGTGGTGGTAGTTTGGCTGATCGTATTCAGAGTTTTGGCAGAGGATTGCCTGAGAGCAAAGTCAGACCATACGCAAAATCTGTACTTCTGGGTCTGAGTTACATTCACAAGAAGGGTTACGTTCACTGTGATATAAAGCCTCAGAATATATTGCTTGTGGACACAAACGATGACTTAGCAATGAGTGTGAGTGGAAATAGGAGGGTCAAAGAAAGTATTGCAAAGATTGCTGACCTTGGGCTTGCAAAGAAGGCTAGACAGAGGCAGAAAGGAAAAGGAAGACTCAGGGGCACTGCTCTGTATATGGCTCCGGACTTGATTCAGGATGAACAATATGATTCACATACTGATATTTGAGCACTAGGGTGCACGGTCTTACAGATGATGACATTGAAAGAACCATGTGTTAGAATTTCTCCATACCATCCACCTCCACTATCACACACTCCACTACCATCTTCTCCTCTATATATAGGACTTGTAATAAACAGAATAAACACAACAATCAATATATCGATCAATCAATAATACATCAAATTTAACACCATGGGAATATGGTCCAGATACGGAAAGAGAAGATATTTTATTGAGAATTGGATTTACAGAGGACGTGCCTGAAATTCCACGTGACCTCTCAAAAGAGGCACAAGATTTTATCAAGAAGTGCTTGGTTAGGGATCCAAAGTCTCCGTGGACTGCTGATATGCTCTTAGGCCATCCCTTTGTTTCAGTGGCAGATAGCGCCTTCACTAGAAGTATTGAAGACAAAAGAAACAGAGTTGTTCTTCCAAAAACAGCGAAAGCTGTTCTTAATTAATCATTCCAAGTTCATTGAATCTTCCTATACCTTACTTTCTCAAGTCATATTCAGCATCAAATGGACACGTTGTACCTAAAAGTTTCATGGCCACAAAGCACTCGGGTGATACTGTTTCTGAAGACTTCGGTGAATTTCCTGCTTACAAAAGTGCAGAAAAAATTGGAGGTAGATGTAGAACAAGGGCTATCTGGAACCAGTTTTCATCTGGATGCCTTGGTATGGCATTGGGCTATCCAGAGGATTTCTCAGTTTTCACCCTAACGTCACTGAAATTTTTTAGCTTTAGGCATAGTGGCTTTAATTCGACCAATGTGCCCCAAAACACTGATCAAATTTCCTTTTCTTGAGCTTCTTTGTTCCCTTATTTTTTCCTGACTTTAGGTAGTGTAGGCTGTCCTCCTAGCTTTGGATACAGGAAGAACGCTTGTATGTCCCTATCTCACACACAACAAAATGATTTTTCTGAAACTGAGCGAGGAATTGGAAATTAATAACAGATTGACTGCGAGCTCAAACACAATGAAAGCTATGATTTGATCAAATAATGAAATGGCTAATCAAACTAAGACAAACAGGAATAAAACAATGCTATGTTAAACGTCCGCAAGATATAGCTTCACAACATTTAAAGGGTTCATAATGATTTGGATTGATATTTGATACCCATAGACAAGAACAATATGTCATCTAATAACATGAAGAACTATGTAATGGATGAGTTCAGAATACTTTTCATCTAATCGCATAGATACAAGTTTACAAAACCAATAGAGAATAATACAATAAGTTTCATTACCCACTCCAATATAATCAAACACCAAAATGCTCCATATAACACAGTTTTTCAAAAAGTTCACATACCTTCAAAAGAAAGGGGCAATACCACCAATGATGGAACAAGAACAATGGAAGCCACCTCTGGATATACATGATTGCAAATGCCTTTTTCAAGACCTTAGCCAATTTTCCAGTACAATCATAAGCGAGGCAATCAAATATGCATTACAGCAAACACCTAATATGCACACAGAAAAAAAAAAAAAAAACCCCATTCAAACAAAAATTCAATGTTAAACAAAGGCATGGGAAAGTCTTTGCTCACACTTTGAAGGCTTGTGGAAGCAAAGTCATAGTGTGAATCCATGGATTTGGGCTGAATTCTCTGAGCAGAGTGAGTTTTACCCCATTTGCAGTGGGGGTTCGAGGAAGTTTCTCTGGCTATATAGCCTACACATATGAGATTTGAATGGAGATCTCTCTCTCTCTCTCTCTCTCCCTCCCTCTCCTCAATCAATATTCATCAGAAAAAATTGGCGGGAAGTTCAAAAGTTGCGGTTATATTAGTTAGCTATGGGGGCCTACCAAAAATATATAAATGATTGATTTTGTTAGGAAATGGGTCCTCTCCCTACTAATTTTTCGAGCAAGATCCCCTAGATTTTTTTTTCCCTGTGCATTGTATGGTTGAGATTTAATGACAAGTCACATCAATTTTTTAGCATTAAATCTCAACCACACAATACACCACTTTAGGAAACTTTAAGAAAAAAATACTCTAGAGGATCCTTGTTGTAATCTTTCGTTATTCTTCATATTTTATTTTCTCAATATCACTCTAAATCTATAATGATTTGTAAATCGTAGGATAATAACCATCTATGTACAACATCAATTTTATTGAATATAAATAAATAGATAAACAAATGGTATTTTGTTTTATTAAATAGAAAGTGATAGTTAAATTTAAACTCATCACTGCTGTTCATTGTAACATTATATATTTTTTAGTGATATTTGACAATTTTTTTTTTTTTTTTTTTTTGCACGACTCATCTTTATTTTTGAGTTTATGAGATGACCAATTAGAATTATTATTATGAACATAAAGTGAGGCTCACAAAATAAAATATAAAAAAATATGAAAAATAGTTGTATGGAGAGATGAAATTCCCATTTTGTTAAAGACCTTGCTTAAAATAATTATAGAGTTATAAACCAATTAACTGTGTTAAGTGAGGTAGTCATTTTTTAACATTTATCCAATCTATATGCACTAATTCATAAATTTTTCTATGTTATGGAACTTTTTGTTGTATGAGTAATGATATGTAAATAAAAAATTTATATAAAATGATGTGATTTATTATAATCTTTCATTTTAAAACTAAACATGTGCATAGATGAGTTTATTTGTAAGAATAGCATCGTCACAGTTTTAATATAATGTTTCTGTATGAATATAATTTTTCTTACTGTATTTTTCATTTGTTTCCCATTGTGTGAGTTTTCTTCGTTTGGTTGTCGCTTCCACATCATGAGACTGGTTGTTAAATTGTGATTATTCTCGTTTAATTTTCATACAAAAATCTCTTTGATTGGTAATAAAAATAAAAATTAAGGGGTAAATATGAGTCAAATAGTAGACTTTTAAGCATAATTTGAATATTTTTTAAATTGAGCTCTAGTGTAGGGTAGTTACGTGTAAGCCATAATAAATGGATTTATTGTCTAATAAATCATATGAAAAAAATTTGTCATATAAAAAAGTCACTACTTGTAAGTTTTAGCGACAATTTATAAAAATCATGACAAAAAAAGTCAGTAATTATCAATTTTTAACGACATATATAAAAAATTGTCACAAAAAAATTATTTTTAATGACAATTTTACCAAGACTTATTTTCAATATGACTTGATGAGAATTAAGTTCAACTATTAGGACCTATTGGTAATTTACCCTATAGTGTATCCATCGTAGCTGCACTCTTCTATTATCCCAAGTTATATGCCCATTTCAGCAGAGAAAAATTTAGAAATACAGAAAGTTTCAAACGCAGAATGCACAGATGTGACACATGCATTCATATCTATAAATGTAAACATGTTTACAAGATGCGAACATTTTTTGCCTCACATATGCCTATTATGTATTTAGAACCTTCTGGGTTCCTTGCACTATTATTTTAGCAGAACTTGTCCCTCCATTTCAACCACAATATAATCAATTCTACAAATCTAAGCTCATTAGATTTTGACAAATATGCTGATCAGATAAGTACATATGGCAGCATAAACTTTTATAAGATATCATACATCATCAACACTACACACCCAAAAAAAAATTTGGCCCGTGATATCAATTGACAGAATGCCATCTAACTAAATGTGCTTATGCTTTGACCATCTGCAGTTTTTCCCTTTGTCAAATATAATCTACCAACTTGGAGCTGGGCCTGTCTGAATAGTTCTCACATTCTTGAAGTCAAGCTCCTCAGTTCCCTTCGGAGAATCTTTCCAGCCGCTGACTTCGGAATCGACTGTGTGAACATCACCTTCCTCACTTTCTTGTATGGTGCAACCTGCAACAAAGAACGTAAAACCATGAGCAAAGATAATGCCATCAGAGACAAATTGAGCTCAAGTCAACAATAAACATATAAAGAGCCATAAATGGCGTTGAACTCAATAAAAAGAACCTGTTTAGCAACATGGTCTATTACGGCTGCCTCAGAAAGAAGAACTCCAGGCTTCTTGACTACAAAAGCCATTGGGACCTCCCCCGTTTCTGCATCCTTGGCTCTGCAAAATATCAAACACAAAATGAAACATGAAGTCCTATAAAGAATAGCGTGGTAGGTCACAAAAATTATGAATAAAATGGTCACACTTACGCAGTTACTGCAGCATCAAGTATATCTGGATGGGAAACCAATACAGCCTCTAACTCGGCAGGAGCAATCTGCAAAAATTAAATGTTGTCAATCAGAACCATACCGTCTGCACTATTTCGCCAATAAATGAATAATTATTCAAGTCCTCTATTTCTGATACAAAAGAGAAAGGAAAAAAACAAAAATCTCAAGATTCGAGAACAATTCACTGGCTTCAAATTTGTATCATGTCAAATGGAGATTGGCATTTAAGATTGGTGATGAAATAGGTAGTACGCGATACAATATATACCTGAAAGCCCTTGTATTTGATGATCTCTTTCAACCGATCAAATATATGCAAGTACCCTTCTTCATCAAAATAAACAATGTCTCCTGTACGTAGCCAACCATCTTCATCAACTGTCATTGCAGTTGCCTCATTATTATTCAAGTAACCTATCCAAATCAGGGCAAATTATCAAATCTAAAGTTTTAATTAAAGATTAGAATAATTTCAAAGGTAAAAAGAAAAGTAAAACATAAAAACCATTGTAGTATGGCTTTCTGAAATTTTCTTTTTCCATTTTTTTTTTTTTTTTTTTGGATGAGACCTGGTTGCAAGAATTATATTCCCGTCATTGGGTGATAACAACTAGCCCTCTTTTTGGTTTAAAGAAATGAGTTCAAGTATATAGCCAACAACACTTTAGATTGATTAATTACTGTTATGCCATAGTAGTTACATACAACTTACAAGTGAAGCCAAACATTTACTAAGAAAGTGTTGGGGATGATCTAAATAAGTATACTTTTTAATTTTTTACGAAAAAATGTATAAAAAAAAATAGAGAGGTGATGTGACTCAAAAAAATTAAAAAAATTAAAATTAAAAAGTGTGCTAATATAGGGGATGCCAAATAGTGCCTAGAAGAGAACATGACAAAATAGAAGAATCAGTTTGATCATTTGTGTCAAACCATTCAATATCGGGTTAAGAACAAACAAAGACAAAACAAACAGATTTTAGCTTTTCATACATACTATGAAATGCGGAGCCAAATAGTGCCAAAAGAGAACATGACAAAATAGGAGAATCAGTTTGATCATTTGTGTCCAACCATTCAATATCCAGAAGTGGGGGTCCAAGAACCAAAAAAGACAAAACAAACAGCTTTTAGCTTTTCATACATACTATGAAATGTGGAGGGATGTCTAGCTATACAATCTGAGAAGAAAAAATCCAAATTCCAAATGGCCATGAAGAGACAATTTATAGAATTAAGAATAAACTTGCAGAAAATTAGCAATTGTACTAAATTATTGGATTGAATTCCCCATATGGTAAGCAATAAAAATCCTCGAGAAACTAATTACCTTTCATAATAGCAGGTCCTCTTAACCAAAGTTCACCACTCCTTCCAGGAGGCAAGAATGAACCGGTAACCCAATCTACCACTCTAGCTTCCATGTTTGGAGCCAGAAGTCCTATTGAATAATAATTATGAAGCTTTTCAGAATTGAAGCCACGGGTTCCTACAGCTGTTGACTCAGTAAGGCCATAACCCTGCTGACAAACAAAATATTCCTAAGACTAAAGAAAAGAATAAAACACAAGATAAACATGCTCAAGGGTATAAACTTTTGTCTTGACATCAGGTTTCAAACATGATTGTAACTTTATTTTCTTCTTCTTCTTCTTCTTCCTTTTGTTTTTTTGGGTACACAAGCAGAGCTTAAGGAAAAAAAATTCCAACTAACATCGCTGAAATAAGCATTAAGCAGTGTAGGCATCATATGGTTATATTTTTCAATGATTTTTCATGTAAATTAATAATTATAGACACCACTTATTAGAGTAAACAATACCTGAATGAAATCAACATGAGGGAGAATCTGAAGGAACTCCTCGATGCTTTTCCTGCTCAATGGAGCCGCGCCACATGAAACCTGTTTCAAACTCTTGCAAACACTTCCACCGACACTCTTAGCTCTGGCTGTCAGTGCTGTCAGCAACGGCGGCACAACAGGGAAGTGGGTGACCTTATACATATCAATAGCTTTCACCATTTCATTGGCATCAAACTTTCTCATCACAACAATTTTAGTACCCAATGATAACAACCCCATCACAAATAGTGAAAGGCCATAAATATGGAACATTGGCAAAACAGCTAAATACACATTTTCAGTACACATATACTCATATTGAGAAGCTTCAAACCCAACAAAAAGTTCAATCATTGCCACAAAATTCCTATGTGTTAACACAACCCCTTTGGAAGTACCCGTAGTGCCCGACGAATACATAATCGCCGCGGTGTCTTGATGATGAATCACAGGCCTTGGAACCCAATTGGGATTGCTTGAAATGAGCTTGTAAAAATCAGAACTACCAATCTGGGTAGAATCAGAGCCAATATTTTCTGGGACCCCAATCACAGGAATACCCAATGCATTAAGCTTTTCAACAGCATTGATGACAGTAAAGGCAAGAATTGTATTACAGTCAAGTGTTTGCTTTTTTATCTCAGAGAGACTACTGAGAGGATTCATGGTGGTTACAATTGCACCCAAGTAAAGAACACCAAAGAAAACAACAGGGAAGTAAATTGAATTGGGCAAGAGAATCAAAACCACATCACCTTGTGAAATACCCATTTGGTGGAGGCCAGAGGCCATTGATTTGACAAGTGGGTAGAGCTCAGAGTAAGAGATTGTGAACCCAGATGTGGAATCGATGAGAGCTGAGACACCATTGTGGGTTTTTGAGAAGATGAAGGAAACAACATCAAGAAATGCGTTTGTTGGGAGGTGAATAGGAGGGTGTTTGCTATGGTAAATTCCTGCTTGTGGTGAGTACCAGTGAGGTTGACCTTGTGGGTGTTTGACATCTGTAGTGTTCTCAATCTGGGTGGTGGTGGATTCGCCTTCCAGAGAGTTGTTATTAAAGAACGACATTGAAATTTTTGAGAGAGAGAGAGAGAGACGGAGCGCAATACTCGGGAGAAAGACCAGAAAACTGGGGCTCTCTATTGAGGCATACCAGTTTTATAAATTCTTCGATCCAAAACCGCCTTACTAAATTCTAGGGGTATTTTTTTTAATGTGCCTCATATTATGATTTTATAGTATAAAGGACATCAATTATTTTCATGATGTCTAAGGTTCCTCAACATCAATTCAGAGAAATTTCAGTCTAGAGAAAATTCGATCCAGAGAAATTCTGGTCCAGAGAAATTCTCTGAGTTGAAAATGTTGAGAATAGATTGATGACAATTCTAGGAAGGAAATGATTATGAAGGGCAAAGGCTGAATGCTTGAATGATGATAGGGACAATCAAGTAATCAAACCCAACAATCAAAGAGAGAGAGAGAGAGAGAGAATGTATAAGCAGTTCAATTTTGACAGTTGGAAGCAAGGCACTAATTCAAAGTTTCAAACACAAACACCTCCTTTCTTGGAGAATAGGCAAAATATGTCTTCTATTACCTTGGTAGCTGAGAAAGAGAATGCTAGAAAGGAATTTAAATTGGAGAACCAAAAATTCACAAAACTGTTCGAACCACAGAAACATGCAATTCTTCCCAAATCAGGTTGATTTGTCTTTTGGATCCTCCTCTCCAATCAGATCGTCGTAAGTAACAGGTACCTTCATTCTATCATGAATAGATGCCCGTTTCCTTTCAGCATCGGACTGCTCAAGTTGGTTTTGCACATAAGCTTTCGCCCACTTGCTCTCAGCAACAAGTTACAAAATTCTCTGGTTTGGTTGGACTGAATTTTCTCTAGGTTGTTGGATTGAATTTTCTTTGGGTTGCACCCAGAGAAATTTGAATTTTCTCTGAGTTGGACGTGTATATAAGAACCAGTTTGTGTGTATACTTTTAAAAAACACTTTTGTAAAATTCAAGGATTTATAACAGAGGAGGAATAGTAGGTATAGCATATCAATCAACATAAGAACTGTAAATTTACAAGAGGAATTGAAAGTTTCATGAACATGCATGATAACTAGCTATATCAATATTACCTCTCTAGAGAAATTTTGAAATTTCTCTGGATCCTTTGAATAAATTTTTAATGCAGTACCTAACCAATATAGCCACTATATACAGATGCAGTTGAAGTTCACCAATCCAGAGACACTAGTTAGTCGCAATCTCAGAAGCATGCAAGGAGGTTTTCACACAACAACAACCAAAAGACAGATAAATACATATATTTCTAGTTCAAAGCCCTTCAGGGTGGCGATAATCATCCATTACACTTCAAACAGCCGCAACTCAAGGAAATTGGCCATCTTCTCTATTCCCTCGGCTTCGGCATAGCCTTCTTCACAGTTTCTCTGGTTTGGTTGGTCTGAATTTTCTTTGGGTTGTTGGACTGAATTTTCTCTGGGTTGAACCCAGAGAAATTTGAATTTTCTCTGGGTTTGATGTGTATAAAAGAACCAGTTTGTGTGTATCAGAATAATCAGAGGGAGCAGGATTGACTATAGAGGTGAGTAACCTAGACTCCAATGAATTGGATGAATAACCCCCTTTCCGATTCAGGTCTGAAAAAGTAGAATCCCGAGCAATGGAAACAACAGCATTCTGAGGAGGAGTCCCTCCAAGCACAGATGGAAGCATGTGATATCGCACAATCCCCTAATCTAGAAAGCAGATCCTTTGACAAACTACATATTTCTGAAGGTGCAATTGTTGGCAATGCCCCTGACAACTCTAGAGAGGAAAAGGCCGATAGTATTCCCCATTATGGGAAGAATCTGACACTTGAAACACTCTTTGGGTCTACTTTCATGAAGGAGCTGCAATCAGCCGAAGCACCAGTTTCTATCCAAAGGGGCTCGGTTGGTTCTGTAGGAATCGATATTTCAGAACAGTAACGGCTACCTTTTGGAATCATGGATGATACTCTCTTCCCAACTTCCATAGTTGACGAGGGAGACGAGCTGCGAAGAGAGAGAGTTGAGTTCATCGCAGGATTTGGAGTTGAGGAAGGAGAGCAACTGGTCAAGGGTTGGGGATTTGGAGCCAATGGTGATCAAGCTCAGGACAACGTGGATGGAGAGGGGATGGGGTGAGGGACCTTAGACTACAAAAGAACACATTGTGGACCTAATCCATTACTAAAAGTTGGATAGGGACCTTAGACCAATTTTTCCTAAATTCTAATGTATAAAAAAAAAATTAAAAAGAAAGGAAAAAAAGAGTAAATTTAATCAAAACCCCTCTATTTGATCCTTATTTAATGAAAATAACAGCTTAATCTATTTTTGCTTCATAAACTTCTTAAAGAGAGAACATATAATTGCGTAAGGATAAAGTAAAATATTTTTTTTTCCTTGGACAATAATATCAGAGTAACATATTACTGTAACCAGTGTAACATGTTACTGTCAAATAGAGTAGCATGTTATTGTTATTGTTTACATCAATTTTGACGTAATAATTTTGTTTATAAAAGAATTTCCTAGTCAACATGGATCTTAATAGAGTAACATGTTACTGTCAAATAGACTAACATGTTATTGTTATTGTTTACATCAATTTTGACGTAATAATTTTGTTTATAAAAGAATTTCGTAGTCAACATGGATCTTGATAGATCTTGATGAGAGATTCTAAAAATATTAATTTTATTAAAAATCGACATTTACATCAAAAGTTATATTATTTTAAAGTTTAATATTTTGATAATAATGATATATGTTGGACTTTTAAAGAAATTTTTTTTGTACTTGTCTTTAATACATTGAAATTTTAATAGGATGGAATTTTGACCAAATCTCTCATAAAAATATCATAAAAAGTTATTATGAACTAATTTAAAGGTGATTATATAATATATAATAAGGTATAATAAATTAATTTAATATATAATAAAACATAATAAATTAATTTAATGATAGAGAATTTTTATGAAGGATTTTCATGATTTTTTTTTATGATATATTATTGTATACTAAATACTAATATTACACCTGTGCTATGCATAATATTACTCAAATAATTAAAAAATAATATTAATATTAAACGGTAATTAAAAATATTTTAAAATAACGAGGAAAAAGAGATTTAGAATCAAATAAATTTTAATTATTTTCATAACAATTACAATTAATGCATTTATTTTGATCTTGCCATCAATGGTGGGTTCTATGTATTAAAAGCAAAAATATGTGTGATAATATAATTAGTAAAAAAATAAAGACAAAAAGTAGAAATAAATTATAAAACTGGTAAAACAAAAATAAATTATGTCATTGAAAATTTGTAATTGTAATTCATCTTATATTGAAGTTCATCCGATTATATAACAAATCACATGTGTTAATTAATTTTAATACTTATCTTTTCTCCTGAAACTTGGTCTCATTTGAGAACATGCTATTTTAGTAATTTTTTAACTTTTTACGAAAAAATATACAGAAAAGTAAAGAGAACATGTTATTTTAGTAATTTTTTAACTTTTTACGAAAAAATATACAGAAAAGTAGAGAGAGTGATGTGACAATTTAGAGTTACTTTTTGATTTTTTGACTAAAATGTATAGTTGACAAATTAACAAAATAAAGAGATTATTTTATTTTTACCCCTATATTTTTACACGATTTTTAATAACCCCCAGACTACTCTCATTTTCACGCATACCCCCATATTATTTAAGTTACTATCAATTTTGCCTCTGTCGTCACATTTGAAACGGAAAACATTAAAAAAATTACATTTTGGCTCCAAATTTCAAAAGAACGATGCAAACCAACCCTCCTAACACTTCTCTAGCCCGCAGACGAATCGTTTCAATTTAGCAATGTCGACACCAGCACTTCTAACACTTCTCTACCAAACGCGACTTCCTGAGACGAATCCTTGCCATTATCAAAATCTCCATGGTCCTCTCACGCTGCTCAAATCGACGATTACTATTCATACACAGATCTAATGGGCTCTCTTGTTCACAAGAAAGGCTATATATACTCACTTGCCACCTCTGGCGACTTGTTATACACTAGTTCTGATAGCAAGAACATTCAGGTATGGAAGAATCAGAAGGAGTTTTCTGGGTTTAAATCAAATAGTGGGTTAGTTAAAGCCATTGTAATTGCAAATGAAATAATCTTCACGGGCCATCAAGATGGGAAGATCCGATTATGGAAAGTGTCTGCGAAGAATCCAATCGATTTATGTTCATGATGATGCGATGAATGCGATGGTTGCCAGATTTGATGGGTTGGTCTTCACTGACTGCAGATAGGAGTATCAAGATATGGTGGCGAGAGATGCAAGAGAAGGGTACCAAACACTTTTTTTCATAGAACTGCACCATATGGGTTATAATGTTTTGAAGTTTTCAAAAATAGTTTTTGGACAACTTTCGACATACCAAAACTGCCTATTACACGAAGAAGTGAGAAAGTGAGGTAGTGTAAGGCAAAGTAGGAAGTGAGGTGAAGAGAATGGCGAAAGAATAAAGTAGAATCGTTAAGAATCGAGAAAGATATAAAATCCGAAAGATAGCTCAAGAAAAGTCAAAAATGAGGAGAAAAGTCTTATTTTTTTTATCAACTTTCGAAACTCCAATAGCATGTAAAAAGAAAATGAACGAGACGTGTGAAATGTGACACGAAAACTAGACCGTGAGTTGAATCTAACGACGTAAAAATGAGGCAAAACGGAGTTAAGACGAATGAGATAGAAGGGCTTGAAGTGGTGGTTAGTGGTGGTGATTTGCTGGTAAGAAAGGATGGGTTTGCATCTTTCTTTTGAAATTTGGAGTCAAAATGTAATTTTTTTAACGTTTTCCGTTTCAAATGTGATGGTAGGAGCAAAATTGATAGTAACTTAAATAGTATGAGGGTTCGCGTGAAAATAAGAATAGTCTGGCGGTCATTGAAAATCATACAAAAGTATAGGGATAAAAATAAAATAATCTCCAAAATAAAATACAAAAGAGAACAATAGGAGTAGTCCTTTTCTCGGTCACTCTTCAAATTAATCTTTCCCTTGTTATA